GTGTATCTGCTGATGCGTCACAACAAGCCCACGTGTGAACCTGAGTCCACCTTCGCTTTAACCTCCGTCCTCACTCTGACCCGCCGTCGCCTCGTCAGCTGCTTTAACTCCGACGCAAACACACTCGGCCACCTGCTTCTGGATCAGCGAGCCGCCGAGTCATAGGATGAGTCGGCAAACAGCACAAACACACAAACACAATCACACTGTCGCACGTTCACTGTTTAAATGTGGAGTTTAATGCTCCACGTTTCCACTCTCTGTTGCAGGTAAACATCAGCATTACTCAACAGTTCTTGTGCTGGAATATACTAGAAATACACTCATATACGAATACACCAGTAGTTCTATGCTCAAGAGTCCGATGGATAAACGCAGGTGCACGTTTATTCTCATCAGTCAAGCATAAAGCAGAGAAAGATGCAAAATTACCCCCAAAAAAGCTGCGAAATGACCACAAGTAGGTGGAAAATCCCCGTCAAAACACACAAACACATCAGAAACATGTGCAGCGGCTCTGCTTCCACTCGTTCTCATCATTCCACATACAAAATCACCACAGAAAGACATGAAATCACCCAAAAAAAAGCAGCAAATTACCACTAAAGAGATGCAAAATCACCTTAAAGACTCGCCAATAAAGACACACACACTCACTGTAAAAACATGCAAACACAGTACAAGCCAATGAATCTCCAAAACAACACATAATTAAAGATGTAAAGTCCCAACATTAGGACGCGCTGTCGCCATAAAAACACACGTACACCCTGAAAAGATGCAAAATCACCACACGAAGACATGAAATCACCCAAAAAAAGCAGCAAATTACTATTAAAAAGATGCAAAGTCACCTTAAAAAGATGCAAAGTCACCTTGAAGACTCGCCAAGAAAGACTCATAATTATTATAAAAAACATGCAAACACAAGATGAAAAGATAAAATCACCACAAAGTCAAAATGCGACAAAAAGAAGTTAAATTACCACAAAAACACACAAAATTAGCAGCAGATACAGTTTCCCTCTGCTCTTTGTTCAGCCAGAAATCACCAAACACGACAACAACACAAAAACAAACCGCAAAAGACACAAAATCTCCACAAAAAGACGAGAAACAACCAAAATCCCCCCAAAATTATCACCAAAGAAGATCAAACACACGACGAAAACAAACACATCGCAAAAAGATGCTAAACTGCCTCAAAAACACCAAAACAGACGCACAATCACCATAAAAACCTGCAAACACACAACGAAAAGATGCAAAATCACCACAACAGCTGAAGTCCAAAACAAAAAAAGAGACAAAAGTGACCACAAAGATGCAAAATCCCAAATAAAGGAGGTACAACTCAGTCCTGGTACCAGACTGACCACAAAGACTTCAGGTCGACGCAAAAAGACACGAAACCACAACAGAGTCTTCATCAAAATGAAGACGTTGTGTATGCAGCTGCTCTGTTCTCTGCTCACCAAGAAATCCCACAAACACACTACGAAAACATAGAAAGACACCACAAAAAGACACAAAATCNTACAGTTTCCCTCTGCTCTTTGTTCAGCCAGAAATCACCAAACACGACAACAACACAAAAACAAACCGCAAAAGACACAAAATCTCCACAAAAAGATGAGAAACAACCAAAAATCCCCCAAAAAGAAGATCAAACACACGACGAAAACAAACACATCGCAAAAAGATGCTAAACTGCCTCAAAAACACCAGAAACAGACACACAATCACCATAAAAAGCTGCAAACACACAACGAAGAGATGCAAAATCACCACAACAGCGGAAGTCCAAAAAAAAAAAAAGGGACAAAAATGACCATCAAAATGCAAAATCCCAAATAAAAGGAGGTACAACTCAGTCCTAGTACCAGACTGACCACAGCAGCATCACCACAAAGACTTCAGGTCGACGCAAAAAGACACAAAACTACAACAGAGAGTCTTCATCAAAATGAAGTATATGCAGCTGCTCTGTTCTCTGCTCACCAAGAAGTCCCACAAACGCACTACGAAAACATAGAAAGACACCACAAAAAGACACAAAATCCCCAGATAAAGACTCAAACTCTGCACAAGAAGACGTGAAACCACAACGAAGACGTGCAGAAAAGGAACACGACCACCAAAAAGATCTCAGAGACATAAACACATGATGAACAAACCGAAAGATGCTTAATTGCCTCAAAAACTCAACAAAAAATGTAAAATCATGATAAAAACACACAAAACATCACAAATTGCCTCAAACACCAAAACAGACGCACAATCACCATCAAACCCACAAACAGTAGACAGACTAACAAGTGATGCAGCTGTTCTGATCTGGTCCATTCAGACCCGTCCAGCCTCCAGTCTAACCCGGTTCTGGACCCAGAGCCGCCGGTCCGGTACCTGTCTCCTTCCTCCTCCTCCTCCTCCTCCGGCGGCCCTCCTCCTCCTCGGTGATGGTGAACAGGGCCGGGATCAGCGAGCGGCTGCTGCCCCTCCTCAGCCTCCAGCCTCCGGCCCGCCCGTCCTCCATCCTGGACCCATTGCAGAGCATCCACAGCACCCGGCTAGCGGCTAACGCGGCTAGCAGCTGCTGCCCTGCCGCTGCACATCGCTGCTCTGAGTGCTGCAGCAGCAACACAACCGGACTGACACACAACAGAGCCGCGAGCCGGGACAGCAGGAGGTTCTGTCGGAGCGAGGAGGAGCTCAGAAATCAGCTCTAATCCACAACATCCTCAGAGCTGCACCGACTCAGCTGCTGCTGCAGGAGGAGACTTCTGCTGCTGCACAC